TTGACAGACCTATATTGACAGCAGCTAACGAATGGCTATTTAACCACAACAATCAAAAACCGTGGTACAAGTAGGTTGATAACTGCTGCTATGATGATAATACAAAATATTATTATCATTAGTTATCATATTTTTCTACTATCTATGTTCGACATTCAGCAAGTAACAGCACAGTACAACAGATCATAATTATGCTATTTGAAAATTATAATTTTTAGTTTTTATAGGTAGTAAACAATAGCTTTAAAATTTGGCTTACAATCTCATAAGTGCATACATTAAATGGACACGCGTCGCGAAGCGTTACTATTATTTGTTTAGTTATGTTCAATTTATTCAAAATATGTTCTGTGCTCAAATAATTGTTTTAAACAATTTACACTAAATAAGGAATTTTGGATTTAATTTGCTTACTATTTTAATTCTACAGTAAATATTTAAAATGTTGCTTATTTTACATTTATAACTAACTTTTTTTTATTATATAAACAACTTTATTAATAAAAAATAATGCAATAAAGTGGACTGTGTTTAAATGATTAAGTTGTCTAAAGACTAGATTTTTGTAAACAGTGTATTAGGAACCTACAACAAAATCACAGTTAAGTTTGAAATTGTATTAATTATCAACTTAATTTAAGTCGGTAGTTCCAAACTGTGATTCAAAGTACTTTTACTTTTTTTCTGTTTTCCCCATCCTGTTGGCAAAAAAGATTTGATTTTTCTGTAACGGTAAATTTTTCAACATCATTGATATTTCATTTTTTTTTAAGTCAAGTTATTTCTTATTAAGATCCCGTTAATAAAAATATGGATCAATAGTTTGTGACTCAATTACACAAAATCACTCAGTGATACTCAAACTTCAGAAATAAAGTTAGGGTTTGTGTCACGCAAACATTAAATTATCAGAACTTGTCTTTTTTATTTTATTAATAACTATTAAATTAAATAGTTTATATGTTCTTATCTTTTTATTAGTACTTGCTAATTATTATTATAACTTATAAGGTGTATAATGTTATAATAATAGTGATTCTAAAGCCTTTATAATAAAATATGTCTGTTTCAAAAATTTCAAATTGAAAAGTTAATTCTTTTACAGTTGAATCTGCTTATTTTGATTTTATGTATAATCAGTATTTTCTTATTTTTATTATTTTCTTCACTATTTAATATCTAGAAAATTAAAAGCTTAATAGATTTTAGTTGTTTAAAAAGAAAACCATTATTTGATATTTCCTTGTGTACTATACAAATTATAGTATTGACATTATTAAACTATTATAACGGGTACGTTTTACTAAGATTATGTAAAAGTGACAATATTAAATCAAAAATAGTCTTAGCTAAATTGTAGTATCTAAATTTAACAATTATTCTGTAATAAAACACATTTTTAAGGATTTAAATTTTATGGAATTTGTACTCGACAAGTTTGTCTGATTTTATACACATACATACATGTATACTATATTTATGTATAAATACAAATAATTATAAAATCAATTATACTAACTTATAATGCATAGTTGTTAAAAATAAAATTTGTTTACCTTTAATGATGCAAATAATGGTTAAAAGAATATTTGCTGTAATGCGTATGCGACAATTTTCCTACTTTAAAGAGTTAAAAAACAATTTTTATTAATTTTTACTGTGTACTTTACAAAATTTGAACATTGATAACACATAGTCAAACAATTGTGTTGATAAATTTCAACGACAAATATATAGTATAGTATAACATTTAAAGAACAATAATAATCTTTTGTCTGATAATATAAGTATTTAACTAATAAAATATTCATAAACTAATTATTAATACAAAAATAAATTTAAAAATTACAAATGTTACTATTTTGAAAATATTCAATCAAAAATATTAAACAAAAACAATATCTATACATTTGAAATTGTTCAACTCCTATAATACTGATTTAAATTTTTTTCTTTTAACAATCGTTGGTAATTAAACAAATCTAACAAAATCAAAATTCAATAAATAAAATTAACTATAAGAATTATCTTAGGCAAGTTCAAAAAAATAATTTACTTGATTTACTGAATTCATTAAATACAAATTAATAGAATTACTACTTTTTTAAAGAGAGAATTATTGTACATTAATAAATTTGATATAAAATTTAACTTTGATAGCCAAATACCTGTGTCAGTTATAGCTAAAACTTTATGATAAAATATCCGTAATGTATGTCAGACACACAATATATGGGTTATATCATTGTAAGAAATAACTAAACTAAAAGCAGACATTTGAACTACCTTAGATAAGTTTAATCAAATAAAAATAATATACTTACATATTATTATAAATATTGGTATAATCAAGAAGTGATTCCTTGTATGTAGTAGTATGAAAATCATACATTAATTACTGATATTTTTAAAAATAAATGAAACGGGTATATGAGTTTTATCAACCCACATACACAAATACATGCATTAATAATTATTTTAAGTTAACACAACACACTTTTCATTCAAATTGCTTAGTGTTGATATTATACATTCACATGAAAAAATGTCACAATAGAAATAAATGTTTTATACTTATAATTTACACCTTGATATATAATTGTAAGGTCTTGGGTCCGATTGGAAAGACATTTCCATAGCAATTGATATGTCATACTCAAAACCAATTTTACATGATAACATTGGTTTTTAAAAGATGAAATATTTTCAGTAAAAAAGCATTCAACCTAAATTAAAAAAGCTAATTGAAATCGTACTGTATTAAATTACCCATTAAACTCTAATAAACTTACCTATTAAATTAATGCTTTATATTTATAATTTACACCTTGATATAAAATTGTAAGGTCTTCAGTCTTGGGTCCAATTGAAAAGACATTTCCATAGTAATTGGTATAGCCTATTCTCAACGCCATAGATATTTCTGACATGATAACATTGATTTTTAAATGATAAAAGATTTTCGGAAAAAAGCATTCAACCTAAAATAAAAAAGCTAATTGAATTCGTATTGTATTAAATTATCTATTAAACTATAATACACTTACCTATTAAATAAATGGTGTGTCCAAGAATGTAACGTCAAAATAAAGTCGAGAGCAAATATTATCAATTGATATATTTAAAAAATTATAAAATAACGAGTTATGACATAACTACAATAAGCATGCTATCATATTTACTATAAAGTATAATGTAAATTTACTAACATTTTTTAATTAAGTTTGCAATTTTTCATTTCACCAATGGAAAACGTGTGAACTTCGAAGTCGAAATTTGTTAGCGATGAGGTTATGTACAAATAATAAATATAATGCGATTTTGTACAAATAATAAAATATATTATGGGTACTGGTCACTCGATTATTGTGGTAACTGATGCATAGTTTAGATCAGGGGTTCGGAATTCGTTCCTATTTGACTCATTTATCTTTTATGTTCCGGAACAAATACCCGGAACTCGTTCCTTGAGATATTCGTTCCGGAGCAAATATTCGGAACTCGTTCCTCGAGATATTCGTTCCGGAACAAATACCCGGAACTCGTTCCTTGAGATATTCGTTCCGGAGCAAATACTCGGAACTCGTTCCTTTGATATTTGTTCCGGAACAAATAAAATGTAATTGTTCCTTGTCATTATTAATAATTTATTAATGGAGCAAAATGTATTTGTTCTACGTATTATGTTGTTTCGTTCGAGTGTATTGAAGGTGCACATTTTTTTTGTTACTTTATTCTTTGTGTGTGGTATTTTAGAAACAATAGACACATTAATGTAAGTTAAATATTAATTAATTTAAGTTAAATGTTAATTAATTTACCAAAAGATTATAGTTAATGCATTTAATATAACAATAAATGTTATTTTCAGTGTACATAAATGTATATAGTATATACATGGTGAAAGTTAACAGAGCTATTATAATATATTTTTACATACTGACAAAAATGTATGCAACTAATCCATCAAAACCATCAGTCCTTTAATCATAAATTAAACTTGCAAAGTTAAAAAACACTTAATTTATATTAATTTAATATTTTTTTGGCTAATTATTTATGATTAATTTTCAGTGTATTTTTTTTACACAGCATAAACAGGGTGATTCTTTTATCATGAACCACTCAATATCTCATAGGGTTTAATAGGAAATTAAAATTTTTTTTTTTTCATAATGTTGTTATACAATGTGATCTCAATTTTTCACAATTTTTTTTGTTTTTACCCCCCTCTCAACTTGTGATGGAGCTTAAAGTTTAGGACAGGAGGAAAGGAGGAATGTAAGATTATTTTTATCTGCGCGCATTTCCAAACCGCACTTCCCCTACCATCCTAACTTAAAACTCTTATGCTGTGTAAAAAAAATACACTGAAAATTAATACCCATGTTAAACTTGCATTTTAATAACGGTGTACGACAAATACTCATGGTCTTTAGAATTTCAAGGCCAAAATGACTTGTTGACGATTTTCTCCTTGTGATTATTAATAAGTATGTTACTGTATTATTTCTGCATATTATAAAAACATGTTTACTACACATAATTTTAATTTTTTTACAAAATATTGTAATTTGATATTGATTTTGTAATAATTTGTATTGTCTATCTATATAATATTAAAAATGTAATTATGGTTAAGTATATTATTTTTGATTATATTTTAAATATTAAAAAAAAAGAAAGAGGTGTTACGTATCAGCAGTTTATATAAATATATTTGGTGGGGATTGTCCACCATACGCGAGTGCTACACCGGCACAACTCGTCATTCGTGTAATTTGGGATTAAAATCGACCATATTGTACATATTATATAAGTTTAAAAATATACACTAGTTACAGTTTTAAATGAAAAACGTCTACGTCGACTTTCTAATTACATATGGGGTACAACGTGTACTTAATAAATATATACAAAAATTTATAAATATTAAAAATAATCATATATAAAAAAGTAAAAGAGTAAAATGAAATGGTAACCGTGTCAATTGTAGACCATGCCATTAGAGAATATTAATTAAAATTAAACAAATGAAATTGATGCAGTTTACTCACAATGTAATATAACCAATAATAGATCAATAGTGTGATTAACGTTTGCTACAGAACATGACAAACAACCACTACAAACAAGTCTACAGGTTAAAGTGGGGTAAGTCAAACTGATTTTATATTTAAATAATAATTGATTAGGTTTTGTATAAATTATTGACTGAGCTTTTCATGATTGTTTTTGTGGACATTTGTGTCTTTTGAGGTTGGATATTACAGAAAATGACCGCAGGCACACGTCACATCTGTAGGGCTTCTCTCCAGTGTGCACGCGTTGGTGTATTGTGAGGTTGGGTTTTTGAGAAAAAGATTTTGAGCACACGTGGCATTTGTAGGGTTTTTCCCCGGTGTGTACTCGTGAGTGTACTGTGAGGTAGCCTTTATAAGCAAATGTTCTTAAGCACACAGAACAGTTGTAGGGTTTTTCACCTGTGTGCACGCGTTCGTGTAGTGTAAGCGAAGGTTTTTTAGAAAACGACTTAAGGCACACATTACACTTATAAGGCTTTTCGTCAGCGTGCACGCGATTGTGTCGTTCAAAAAGGTATTTTTGAGAAAATGACTCTGAACACACATAACATTTATAAGGCTTTACACCAGTGTGCTCGCGATTGTGTCGTTCAAAAAAGTATTTTCGAGTAAACAATTTTAAGCACACCGGACATTTGTAATGCTTTTCACCAGAGTGCACGCGTTCGTGTAGCGTGAAAGTGGATTTATCAAGAAAATCCTCGGAACACACTTCACATTTGTAGGGTGGTCTGATGTTTCCGGTGTATCCGTTAGTTACTTCATGAGCTGTATGATTGATACTATAACAAAAAAATGTCGAACATTAAACAACAAGGTTTTATAAAAATGTATTATATTTCTTTAAATTTACAATAATTTTAACTATTTTTGTTACTTTAAAAAGTCCATTATTCCTCCAACCATAGCGTGACAGTCTAACTGAACAAGTACTAGACATCATATTATTATTGCATATAAAAATGTGTTTTACTTGTTTTGTTTTATGCTTCAATGCGGATTTGAGAAGGTAATGTTTTTACAACGTTTTTAAAATTTTTTTTTTCATTGTCAAGATCCAAACATTTTTTTTAAACTGCTGAACCCATGATTTCTATGTGTTGCGTCTCTATAGCTCAAAAATCATACCTAAGATACGATCGTAAGGTACTATATTAGACCAAAAATTTGAAAAGACCAATCTTTTTTTTGCCTTAAAAATCGAGAAAACCCCCAAACAAATGTACACATTTTTCAACTTGAAATAACTTTTTTTTAAATAGTCTTATAAGTCTAATAAGTTCTAAAATTGTATGAAATATTTTTTTTACGTAAACTACCAATAAATGATGAAAAACCAAATAATATCATAATTTTTCTAACTTACTATGTGTGAGTAAATCAACAGTCAACGGTTATTTGAAAATGTTTGTATTACATTATTAATTACCTACGATAAATGGGTAACTATGGCAATACAATTTTATTAACACATTATTGTAATAAATTAGGTACAAAGCTTTTATCGATAATTGTATTTTTACAGTTATAGATTTGCATTGGAGCGTTTATTTATCACTTTAATTATAATTCATATATACTAGATGATAGACTGCGGATTAGACAGTACGTACTTATATAATACGAGACGTAATGAATAATAAGTTCAATTGCGTTTTCATAATAACGAAACAGCAATAGAGAATTTAATATATCAAATCAAAATTTGCCTTACATGAAATTCTTTTCGACGTCTTGTTTTCTATTGCTTTTCTGGGTTGTTAAGTGTGCACTATGTGAATGACTAATATGCTCGGACATTTTCATTTTGGTCGCAAATGCCTTATTACATATATGACAGACAAATGACAGTACCTCGTCCAAATCGTTGTTTGTTGTTTGCACATCTAAATTTACATTTTCTTCGATTTCTATCAAGGACTCATAATATTTGCCATCCACTAGATCAACTTCTACTTTGACTATCGATTCGTTGCACATTTCTCCTACACTAAAAACAAACAAACAAACTCAAAACTAAAATAGAAAATAATTACTACGACCAATAAATGTTAACATAGAATTGTGTACTAGTTGCTTTCAATGAAACTTGAGCTTTGCAAAATTAATATTTACAACAAAACTGATATGAGCAACTCCAAGACTAGGATCAATTTTTATTATAAGGATGTCTTACACACGTCTCTGGATAATTCAGCAGGTTTAGTAAATATTTAAATGCAAACAAAATTCAATATGTGAAGTTTTTTGAAACAAAGTTATAGGCTCTTCTTTTTATTTTTGTTCAATATTGTACGGCAATAAAAACGAAAACTTATTGAAGCTATGTTTCTTATAGCCCCACCTGACCGCTGGGGGTCAACGAAAAAAAACCGTAGCGTATGTTTGTCCTTTACGCATTACTACACCATTCATCAGATCACCATGAAACTTTGGGAAGTTGTTGAGTATACTCCCGCGAAAGTTTCTGGCATAGTACATTTTGAAAATTCCACCCCTAAGGGTATCCTCAAACACGAATTTTATACTTAAAATACGAATACGAATATGTTTATTTAGTTGCTAACCCAAAATAAACAATTGGTTTGTAACCATAGTAACCGTATGATTCGCATACTCTAAATTCTAAGCATAGCTTCTGCTGGGGGTCCTGTGACCCACACAGCTTTTTTATTGCCCTGTCCATTCTTCTTCTGTGCGTAGTGCTACACTGTTATTACATCATAATACAAATATAAAATATTTGTATTTTAAAAATCGCATTACTTGTATGAAATCCCGTCATTCTGGACAGTCTCGCCACTATTATATGATTCTTCAAAACAAGTTGGACTAGTTTTTACCACTAAAGCTTCGGTAAAGTTTTCTTTCATATCTTCATCTATTCTGTTAACAGAACCGTGATAATCATCAGTTTCGTCTATAATTTCAACTTTAATTTTCTTTTCAGGAACACTAAAAAATAAAACAAATTATATGTAATTTAATTATAAAAGTTGCAATTATAATAATTCCATTGGGGATATTGGGAGTTAATCCGAACATAGTTCAAGTTTGTTGTTGTTGTTGGTTGATTAGTACATTTAAAAGAAGTCTATAAATTGGTGTCCCGTCATTTCATCGCAGAAATCAAACACGGTCACTTATAAAAATGAAGCAAGTCAAATGGTCACAAAACATGCATTTTATTATTAACATAATTTGCATTAGAAATCCTAGGAGTGCGAAGAATGCTTTATTGCAAAGTCCTTCCCAAGGATCTAACTCTTATATCGTTATCATAATGTAATGTATCCATAGATTAAAGTCTATAATCCAAAAAATAATAACATTTGGAACAATGGGAGCTTCAGTTGTCGTCTCTTAAGGGCTTTACCAATATTTATATCCTTAAAATAAACTATAAAGTTGACATGTTTTTTTTTTTTAATTTACAAAAACGGATTAAAAGTTTTACAAAATAACATTATACCCTTTTTTGTAGAAAACGAACTTATACCAGAAGTTAATCTGGTACCTAGCTCTAATATTAATAATATTAATATTTGTGGTTAAAAAATGTTGAGTTATCGATAAATAAAACGTTAGATTAAGAAACATTTTTTCTTTATTTTTGGTGGTTGGCCGTTGGTTGATACAAAAAATGTAAATCGTGTACATTGTGATGTGTTTCAGATTTAGAAATGAAAATGAAAACATTTGTATGGTTGCCCCCACCCCCCACTGTCTCTTACCTAAGTGTTCATTAAACAAGTGATTACTTGATACTAAAGAATCAATATAAAACCTATATTAAAATAAACCAATATTAAATGTCATGTAATAAAAAAACACTTCTTTACCTATTTAGGATAAACTGCAAAGGTCTAGGAATTCACCATGATAAGCATACTCATATATATATATAATAACTAAGTATTAAATTAAAACTTTAAGCCTTGACTGTCCTTAGATTACATTAACTACTATGAAATATATTCAAAACTCACATGATCTAAAAATTAATTTTATGCATATGTAAACATCCAAAATAATCCATACAAAGGGTGCTAATACTAACAGCAAGTTTAAGTTTCTATTTCCCTTTAAATAATTTATTTTCTGGTAAACATAAATTATATTTGTAAAAAAATATATTCTTGTATTTGTATTATGTCAACAATGTAACTGTTTTGTATCGGAAAATATGCTTTAACCCATTTAAGGAAAATTAAAAATAATTTGCAATAGAATACCGCCCTACTGTTATACCCTGTTATGTTAATATAATTTTTTAACAAAATATACTTAAAATGTTCTAATTAAAAAATCATTTTACTCATATGTCAATTGTGTTTTGATTGTTGTGAGTTGTCGGACAACTGTTGTATCGGTATTAAAATCAAGTTAAGGCACTTTAGATCAACTGTAATAATGAGCAAATCAAAAACTCCTATGCACTCTTATCAATATTTGTATCCTCAAATTATGCTTTGGTGTCAGTCAATATATATAAATGTGGGATCAGATTGTATATAGTTGGCAACACCTCCAGGGTCTAGGATAAGGAATGCAGCCATTATATTATATTTACATTATATTCAATAAGTGTCGTGTTTTGTCATTGGTAAATCTATACTGTAGAACATGATTGCTAAACTGTAAGCGCTCACACGTTACTTTTTCCATTATTATTAATTACTCGATAAACTCAGAACATTAAATCATACAAACAAATATGCATCTTTTTACTCACTACCAATTGGTAATATATTATTTTTAATTACTATTATTACAAAATTAATAAAAATAAAAAACCGAAATTTTATTTTATTTTTAAATGGTATAGTACAAAATAATAAAAATAAATTAAATAAACGTAAAAAAAACCTAAATTGTAAAATTAATAATTTAAAATAATTAAGCTCAGTCACTTTCTGAGGAGATTGCATGTTACTCCAGGATACACAATAATATGTAAAATACAGTTGATAAACTGTGGCGCTCACTTTATCGGTACAGTCAACTTTGTTCACTGATAAATCCCGAGGAAATATAGTTAGCGGCTTCTTTTTTTTTTATTATTATTATTTGAAGGTAATAATAAAATCAAGCCAATTAACAAACATTTATACAACTGGCGTTCAAAACGTTATCTATGTAAGCGCAGCGCTAACATGTTTACCAACGAGGGGTTAAGTAAAGTATTAAACTACAAGTGTTTGCCTTCAATTGTAAAATCTGTTGCACTTTTGCTTACTGTGACAAATTAATTTAAGTATAATAAAATAATAATAATAAAAAACCTATATTGATTTTTTTTCTATTTCGTATAATGCTAATTTTGCCATATTATGTATATTGTAAAATATTATTCCTTAAAGCACATAGTATGGAAACGTAAACACTAAACACTTTAATAGTAGGTATTATTTTATTATTAACATTGAAATTGTTTGGGTGGACTGCACCGACATTGAATGTTATGATGCAAAATTACATACACCTAGTTATTTGCCATAGAATACTTATTGATACCTTAACAATGTTACTACCATTTTTGAACAAAATTTACTTTAAATTTTATAATTATAAATCACATTACTTATAAGCATCTCCGTCAATATTCTTTTGAGGAATGTTGTTGGTCGTTGAACAACTCTTGTTTGATTTTTCAAGGTCTTTTGGTTTTGTTTCTTTCACTAATACTACGGGAAATTGATATTTTATATCTTCATTTTCTTCCTCTATTTTGATCATGGTATCGCAGTTATAATCATCCATTTTAATTGAAATTCTTAGCTAGTTTTTCACTTTATAAACTGTAAAACACAAAGCATATTTGCAAAAATTAGGATAAAAATTTATAATTAATCTATCAAAATAACTAAAGCTGGAGTTTAAGCATATTTAAATGAATCATAAGTGAGTTCAGGCGTCTTAGTAAAAAAAAGACACTAGAGGTTTTACGAGCAACATTTTTTTATTAATTGAATATATGGATATGATCTTTTAACTTTAGTTTTTAAATTCAATATGTATTTTTGGAAGGGTTTTAGTAAATATATTGAGTTGGAACGGCCCAATTTAGGCGCACAAGCTTCTAAATCTAAGGTAATGAAATAACAACAAACGTTTTTTTAATTCTCAATGTTGTACATTAATTCAGTAGTTTAGGTACATTTGATTGAAATATAGGAAAAAATTAGTTTTTTCCTTGTAAAATAAAAATTGTGAATTAACTAAATAACATGGCAAAAAATAGATATTGAAAAAAAACCCAGTATATCATTCTTGACACAGAGTTTGAACTTTCATGAAGAAAACAAGTTGCTATAGTAATCTATGAATAAATAATATAGTAGTTATGATAAATTGTGTAAAAGAATCAAAGTTTAACTATTTTACAAAACGCACATTATATAGGAAAAAAATAATAACTCTTCTTGTTAACAAATAAATAGAAAACCTTTTCAATGCGTTATACGAGGTCATCAAGTCAATTTACAATAGAAAGAGGTGGCATCTGGTGCGCTGCTATAGAATTATTAGTTAATTATTTATTTGTATAGATTATATAATATCAATATTGTATTGAACAACAATACAATTTTCTTAAGTATTTAACCTTTAAGTTAGTAAATCTTTACTAATAAAACAACTCTACGCCTGCTAGCTTCAGGAGCCGATTCGAGCCCGTTCGGCACTCTTTGCTGGATGGGGGGCTCACGCCCCTGAAGGAAAAAAAACTTGCCTTAATAACTAAACTAACCTTACCTACCGCTTAAGAAGCATTAGCGACCTAATGAGACCTAACCTAGCCTGATCTACAAGATTCCGCCAATTGTTTACTACAGAATCGTAGTCAGCATAAAAAATAATACAAGACGGTTATAAAAAAATCGCAAAAAAAAAGGTTGCCCGGCAAAACGCATTTAAGCACAATGAAAATGTCTGTCGGTACTTACTATTATTCAGCTACAATAAGGCGGTTCTAAGGCTATGATCTATGGTCGGATAACACAATTATAAAATTACACACTTAATTTATGTTTTTTTTTAATAATATGCGAGTACTTGTCAACAATACACAACACACAACAACATAACTCTTCGAAATAACAGTAACTATGGCTTTAGATCAGACATAAACAAATTACAGACAACAATCTACTTGATAAATGATAATGATGTTTATGCGTGTGCGACAAATAATAACGGCCGACAGCAAGCTGGAGGTAAAACGGAGTGAAGGTAAATAAATACAAATGCTATAATTAGTTCTAATTTCTACCACCAGGTGGCCTTGGCATCCTCCGCTGTTGTCAAACAATGCACAATGCTGAATGCACACATGACACAGCGTTATTCGTTATTCTGTAACATTGTTGTGTATCGACTATCGCCCAAAGTGACTCGGATTTTTTTAAAAATTTGTGTTGTTGAGTTTCTACAATATACGAACAACATTATGTGTGTGATTTACTACCTTTTTTTTATGTCTAAGAAGCAGAGCATTGCAAGTAGCTTTTTAGTCAACTACCATTGTAGTTGTTAAATAGTAAGTACCGAGAAATATTATGATTCAGTTTTGCTTTTATTTGTTTTAATAAATTAATAGATAATCTACAGTTTACGGGTTTTAATATGGATTTATTAAGCAATTTAAAATTTATTAGCATACATTCGTTTTAAATGTAAAGCCTTATGAAGTGCTATCAACGGGGTGTACAGGGCAGTTCTTCCAAAAAATGATAAGAGATAAGAGTTCTTCCAAAAGATAACACAATTTTTATTTTATCAGCGTGACCAACCCAGAAACACCAAAATATAAAATCACATTCTATCAGTCTGCCAATTCTATTAGAATAAAAGTAACTAAAATATAACTAACGTTTATCAGAGTTAACTGTTATCTCTAGAACTAAACGGCAATAATTCAAATGATAAAAAAAAATAACCGTGTTAAAATATATTATATTTTCTTAAATAGTACACATTTTTACGATACATTTATAATGACAAAAAACCAACTAGTTCATATGACGACAACGATAATTATTGGTAAATAAAATTTACTTTCGTTTCTTATTAATATTAAATGAATATTTTTATTAGAATTCTTTTTTAATTCATAATTCAAAACTCTTATTTTCACATAATATAAACTTGCAATATTTAATATGAATAACATAATATATTTATCAATTATAGTACCTAGCGACAAAGTTCATACATACACTATATTGTACTAATTTGTGTGACAATATTATTACATCCTATTTAAATAAAACTATTTATACAAGTAAATTATGTTTTACAGTATGATGGTAGTCGTCTGAAGTCATAAAAAGTTTATCGGTATGCTTATTCATTAGAGCGGTTCGATTCCTGCAACTATCTCTAGTCTGATTAAGTGTGGTAACAGGTATGGAGTTATTTTTTGTAAAATTGTTTTAATTGATTTAATCTATTATTTTAATAAACAACATTTCAACTTTTAACTTATTTATTAGTAATATATCTTTCAGTTTTAAGATGAGTCAAAGATGATGGTTGAACAGTTCTCCATTGACACTAATTGGAAGAAATAATTGTTTTATCATTTGTCTAAATAGACTAGGTAAGGAAAACACTCTAGATTTGTAGTATTAATAAAAATATTGATACAATAGTAGTTTAATATCAATCTTAAATACCCTAATATAGGGCATTTAAAAAAAAAGAAATCAAATGTAAATTATCATTCTTTTTAATAATTTAATTTACTATTTTCTAACATAGTTAGTTTTTGTACAAGAAAAATTGTATTTACTTGTAGATCTTACACTTCATTGGTATGAGATAACAAACTAGGTCCACTTGATGTATACCGGTCACAAATATAGTCTATTCATGAAATCACTCTTCTATATGTTATTGATAGATAATTTAAGTTAAATGGTATAAAAAAATGTCATTATCAATTTTCATTATATTTAATTTTAACTTCACAATTAACAAACGATAACATTAGTAAATCATTTAAAATTGGTTTTATATTATAATTATTATTATTATTATTTAACCATTTGTTGTTTTTTCAGCTAGAATGTGACCAGAGGAAGATTAAATGGACATATCATATATTTCTCCATGGACACTGTAGTAATCCATAGACTGACTTTTGACACTATATTTGAATATTTGTTGTCAACGTTAATTGGATTTTGTGCAAAACCCCTGGAAGAATATTTTGTATCAGACTAACAGTATAAACGCCACCCAGTAATTCTGTTTACCTGCTGTTAGACATTGTAGTATCATCTCCAATCTCTTTATATATTGTTTAATTTTATTTAAAAAAGTCTTATTATAATTTATTATTAATCAAGTGTAATTCAGTTGATTATTTATTGAATAACTTATTATCCTGTCTTCAATGTCCATATAAACTCTACTGTATTTATGACCACTACACTGATATCTCATTTGCCTAAATATTTTTAATTTTCAACTACATTTAAACAAAATTAAGATTGTTTAAATTTTTTTTTTTGAATACTTGTATTATTGTTTGAATATTTTTACACTTTGAGTGTCAAGTATCTTATAATATTCTAGATTTAAAACTGTATTAGTTTAAAGATACTAACAGTATATTACTATTACAATTTTGACAAACATAATTATTAGCCTACCAAACAAATTATAAATGTAGTTTCTGTATTTGCTTATTTATTAATATTTACTAACCTTAATAACATTAAAATATTAATTTATTGTAAAAATATCTTGACCTAACTGAAAGATTGAAAATTTGTAAACTGTTGTGAAATTATGTCGATGTTGTTAGGAAAAAATGTGTAGTCAAAATTTTGAATACCTAGATTTTTTTGCTAAAACAAGTAATTATACATTTGTAAATTTTGATGTTTTGTTTATAAAATATACTTTTTTTAATTAAAAAATATCTTTACTTAAGTATCATAAAAAATTGTTTTATTTTAATCAATGTCAATTCACTGATTAATATATTATGTATTAAACAATTGAATATTTCTATATATTTTATACTATTTACCAAATTATTTTATGTGTCTTAAACTATTACATTTATTATTTCTATTATTACTATTTATTATTTATTTAAAATGACTTATTAAACTTTATAGATTATAAAATTGGTCTGAAATGTATACTGTGTTACTATAGGTATAGCCTGTTAGACAGGAAGGCTATGTTGTTTTTTAGAAATAAAAGTTGTTTTTTCTTGGTTAGCTTAATTATACAGTGTGATTCACTAATTTTCTCTCATAATAATTTCAATAAGGTAAAATTATTTTTCAAAACATTTTTGTTTGTGTTATTTTACAACTGAAAACATGTTTTATTAACCACTTATTTTTTTGATAATTTTATATTAAATAATATTTAATTATGATAAAAGATTCAATGCTTATTTAGTATATTGTATATATTTTTTTATAATTTTATTATATAGAAATGCATTTGTTTTTAGATGTAGTTTTTGACACAATAAAGTAAAAGTAAACCAAATGTATTTTTTCTAAAACTGTTCTCATAGACACGTTTACTCTCGATAGCGAGTGATTTGTATGTGTGTACTGTATTAAGTGATTTTATATAATGCGTTCAAATGAAGGATGTTTAACATATTGAATACTCTCTTTGTTTGAGTATACAATAATGTGTTCGATATAAATTGTGTTATAAAGTCCAGACACCATTATCTTTATTTATATGCAGAGTATAATACAGTTAATAATTATAGATTCTACAAATAAATAATAAATTAGCTTTAGTAAGTTTAACCCTTCACTGCATGAATTTTTTTTTAACCATATGCTATAAATGTACTTAATACTACATAAAAAAATTTAAAAAAATTTTTTTGAGTTTTGGTTTTATGGAAAACGCTAATTAAAGAATTTGGAACATTATGGAACATTGTGCATACAAAGATGTATAGCATAAGCAAATATAAACAATAAATACAATTATTGTTCCATATATGGAACATTATGCAGTGAGGGTTAACAATACCTGCTAATGTCTAATAACTATAAATATATTTAAATAATGTCTTGATAATAATTGAATAGTTTTATAACATATTCAATATTTTTGATATTTTCATTTAAGTCAGTTATCAATGAATCAAGGTTTATAACTATTTTCTTTTTAATAGTAGCGCAGTTATATCTTATATGAATCATAATTCATGAAACACAATTTTGTATCTCTACATGGTTTTGACCTCTAAACTTTAAGTTATCCAGATTAAAATATTTTTGAATATTGAAAACCATATGCTCAGTTTTATTCAAATTCAACTATAAGAAACTCGTAAAACCATGTAAATATGTTTTAATAACTAAATATTATATTACCTACTTCATTATTTGGGATTTAATGATTTTTCAAATATTTTTGATAGAGACAGTGATTACGATATTTGTTTATAATGGCTACAGTCTAGTAATTATAACTAGAGCAGTGGCGGTTCTGGCATTAAATTGTTTAGGAGGCAACAACTTTGTACGACGTTATTTCAAATTCTTAAATTTTGTTTTCGCTTTCAAAAACAATTATTGTTCATATACATTTTTCGATTGAAAATATTTATTGTAAACCAAAATATCTCATCATAATAACAATATTAAGTACATAGTTTCCTTAATTTTCAAGGGAGGCACCGCCTCCCTTGCCTCCCCGGGAAAACCGCCACTGAACTAGAGCCCTAGTAATTATAATTACCGACTGAAATAATAGATAATATTACTGAACAATTATTTATTTCCCGTTTTGTGTATAGGAATGAAGACACATTTGATAAAACTATTGGGGCACTTACCTGAAGATAATGATAAATTAAATACCTACAACTTTGATACTTTTCATTGTTAAGTACAACTGTTAAACAGTATAAGGTTAGAATTATCTTCTACTAGTTTGCTGTTTGATCTAGTACTTCTAACCAAAACTATGGGGATATAAGATATTCTTAACAAAATTATACCTTTTTTAATGATAAATAAAAATGGGATTATCTAATCTGTTTTTAAATGTTTACTTAGTTAAAATAGAGTTAACCTGACCGCTTGATATCCAACCTTTTAATTTCTGATTTGATAATTTTATTATATACATATTAGTGGAATTGGAAATAGCCTCATTAATTTTCCCATTAAATATGTCCATAGCTACGTCTATATCATTTAAATTTTCACAACTTGACCAATCTTAAGTATATATTAACATACTTAAATCAGTCATATTATAATTTATTAAACTTTTTGTAGGCAAAAAGAGCTTTAATAGCAGATTTCGATGAGAACAAGGTAAGAGATAAATAAATATGATGGGATGCTGCAACTTGCAATTGTATCTATTTATTTTATAATATGTATTATTTCTATTTTTTATTTTTATAATATAAGAAAAGTATACATTTCTTAATAAATGGAATGTAGACAGTTTTTGTGTGGTATCAAAACTTTAAGTTCGTCGTAGAGACTTGGTTATCGCTAAGTAAATGGCCATTTTAATGAAAAAGTACATAGATTAATAAAATATGGGCTATGCAATCTTCTAACAAATATGGATATTTTCAAATCAAGAGATAATTGTAAATTTGCAAATTTATATTGACCAAAAATTGAATCATATTTTTAAATCATATGAATAACTTTTACTGAACAAATTCATATTGTTTAGTTTGGTTTCTTTAATAAAAATATATACCCAGAGTAGCTTAATATAAACTAATTTCTGTAAAATATGAAGTGAATGATAATTATTTTAAAAACCTACTAATAGATTATAAATAACATTCAGTCCTGCAAGGTATTTTAATACAGACATTAAAAATACGTTATTTGGTATTGAATACTATTTTTGATAATTCGTTATTAATTATTTAATTATTAAAAATATATCATTTGTATGGTACGGGATACTATTTAGTTAATTTTCCTTTTTTTTAAAATTCAGTAAGATAATCAGTCTGATTTGATAATCTCACCAACATAAAAGCAAGATTACATTATATATTTAGTAAGTATGACGTTTATACGATTATGACCCTAGTTTGATCATTTTTATTATTATAACAGAATTGTTTAATCTAGTTTACAATAATTTTATATTATGCAATATTCTTATTATCTACCTATTATCCCATGCAAAAGGGCCGTACAGCAATTTTTTTTCTCATCACAAGTCTTTATCCGGCAATAGGTTCACTTTGGACTATACGTTTATAATGTATATATTGATTTGTGTAGAAACTTAAAAATTAAATATGTTTTATTCTAGTTATTTATGTGAGGTATTTAAACTACAAGTGTCATATGTTCCGTTTTCCTTGCTTTAATATATCCTTAAGGTACCAAATTTTGTTAATAATATATCTTCTAAAAGACAATATTGAAGACAAAGCGCATAAGCTTCTACCTGTATTCTTTAACTACAGAATACATATGTAAGATGTGGTAAAACTAATTTATACTTGACAGCCAAATTTTGAAATCGTCAACTAATTTAGGTAAAAAGTAAAAAAAATGTTTTATTTAAATAGTAATATAAACATTTTGTGGGAAATTTCAATAAAATTATTATTATTTTATACCAAATAATATTAAATTATAACATATACTTATAAGTTATGTATATACACTTATATAGTGTAATTTTTTATGAATTTTACATTATATAATTTTACGTGTATAGTGAATACGATTAATTCGAGAATTGATAAATATCTAACTACAATTTTCAATAAAGATAAGAACCTAACTAAAGGCAATGTTTTTGATATTAAAATACGAAATTTCTCTTGGCGGGTTTTTGGTAAAATCGATGTTGGTACTATCTGTAGTATTACACATTTTATAGGTTATATAACATTTATTTCTTATCACGCGTTATCATTTTTTGGAAGAACTACCCCCAACTCCAATAAGACCATCCGGTGAACGTCAAATTTTATTTTTATTACCAAGAAAATATACATTCGACAAAATTTTATTTTGAAGAGCTAGCCTAAACAAAATCTTGCTTTTGCTATACTCTAAAATTTTCATAATGTCACAACTACCGTTTTTACCCTGTGCCCTTCAATTATAATTTACAACGAGTACAACACGGTTATCTATATAGGGTAGACAAATTCAAAGTATAATTAATTAAATATTGTTGTGGTTATTTTACCTATTAGTAAATTCAACATTTTAATACTCATATGAAGGATGACTTAATTTTTGCAATCTATTCTAGGTCGTGGTATAACTTAGCAAATAAAAAATATTGTTCCAATTGTTTTTCTTTTCCTGGGCGAAGCCGGGTACACAGGCGGTTTGTTAATACGGAAGACGGTTATTTACTAGAAATTCAAAGCATACAAAACAAACAAAATATCGATAGAAATCATACAGTATTTTTGCCGGAAAATATCCGGGTAGCTATCAATAGACATAATAGACACACA